TTTTCTTTTCTTTTTTTTCCTTTTTTTTTTTTTTTTTTGTACATTTTGTTGCTTAGGGCAAAGTCACTTCAAAGTTAACTTTTTATAAAAATTTCGAAATGGACTATTTTATTAATTATAATTAATAATTATAATTTAATTTTTCCTTTTGTGCTTCTCTCTTATATCTCTTTGTCTTAAAATGTTAACTAATTATTATGTTAAAAATTGTATACATCTTGTAAATTTGTATAATATATTATAATGCATTTAAGAAAATTCTTTGCTGTGATAAAACGTATTAGTAAAAAAAGAAGATTTTAATAACAATAAATTAGTTAATGAGTATGGAAATTTTTAGAAGTTATTAACAAAACTTCAATTGTTTCATACAATTTAATGTTTGACTTATTTTGCCCAGATTAAAATTTCATTTTAATTAGCTTGTGTATCTAAAGCTGAACTTGTAATGTACCTATGTATTTTTTGCTAGACAATAGTAAAATCCGTACCATTTATTTACTTAACTAATTCTAGTGTCAGGCATGCATTTCTTACTAGTTATAATTTTAAATTTCAAAAATGGAGAAGTAATTTATTGAATATTGATAGTTTTTAAACTGTTTGGTAATTTTCAATTTCTCTGATTGTTCATTTACTTAGCATTCAAATTGTATATACAACATGTGTCCATTTTTATGTAGTGACTTGACCGAAGATCTGTTGAGCAAAACTTTATATTCTGGTCGAAGTACAAACCCTGATGTTGTTATCAGGACTTCTGGAGAAGTGCGTCTCAGTGATTTTCTCTTGTGGCAAAGTTCTTACTCAGTTATATCATTTCTAAAAGTTTTATGGCCAGACTTCAGAATTTGGCATCTTTTCTTGGCTGTATTGGCTTATCAATATAATTACAAAAAACTTCATGTAAGTATCTTGTATTCTTTAATGAGTTTTATTTACTTATATATTTAATTTTGGACTATGCAACTTACATTTTAGTTCACTACTACACCAAATTTTACAGCTCATTTAAAGTTGTTTTATATTTTTTCTTGTATTTGTTTAAAATATTAACTGTTAATTGAAGTTACTTGTTTAAGAATTCTATACATATTTGCTGCATCTTTTAAATACTTAAAATTGATTTTGTAATACTAACATTCTTGCATATTTCATTTTCCACTTAGTAACTTAGCCATGAAAGTTGATATTAGCAATATATCAGCCATAAAAAAGAACTAAATCTGGGATTTTTTGTAATAGATAGTTTTTATAAAGTAAATTAGTTCATGCCTGTAGATTTCTTAGTAAATATTCCTTACATTTTTGGAGGCAGCTGCTTCCAAATGTGGTTTCGTGGAACACTAGGGCTCCGTGAAAATGTCACAGGGTTTCCGTGAGTTGATACTTTTCTTTTTTAACCAGTAATGATTTTTGAAACCTGTAATAGGTCTGTGTCGAACCAATAATCCATTATTTATTTTATATTAGTGTTATTTTTATGTACAATTGCGATAAGAAATAAATTAATTTAAGAAATTTTAAAAAATATTTTTTTCCTATAACAATATATTGAATGAACTTCTAATATAAATATGAATTTACATATTATTGCATCAGTATTTCTCATGAAACTTTGCAATTCAAAATAAAATAAACTCAAGAATAAGAATTATTTTTCTCTGATAACCAGTCTTACACTTTAAAACAGTTATTTTTCAAAAACCATTATTAAGCTTATTTTATTCAATTTCAACTTATACGGCTAAAATGAGTAGACTTAATTTAGTCATATACTTAACTTATTTTAACGAGTTAAACTGCCTAACACAAATCCTAATTTTAAAAAATTATCGATGGAACAATATTAAAATTTCATTCACATAACATATTTATTCATTCATATTTATCATTAACATATTTATTCTTGCTGATGAATATTGTTTAAAAATTGAGGTTTCGCCAAAAGAAGTACAATTATTTAAGGTAGATGAAAGAAATTGGGAATAGCTGTACTAAATAAACAATCTTTTAGAGTCTTTCTTCTTGTTGGTTGCAGGTTCGAAAATAATTACACTTTAATAATTGTTTTACTTTAAATACTTGAAAAAAAGTGTTCATCTTTTAAAAAAATATTAGTGAATATTAACAGATTTGTAACTTGTATTTCAGTAACAGATTTGTAAACAATTGTTATGCTGTTACTGTTCTTCTAAAAATATTTGAAATTTCTAGCAATATTTTTGTGGATTCTGCATTTACTATGATAAGGCATGCATATCTTCTGGAAATCACTAAAACCCTTTTATTACGCAAAAATTAGAACTGTTTTTGTTTTGAACTTAATAATTACTCAAAAACATATTTATTATTTTCAATTTCTTCAAAAAGCATTTTATACTAGTGATCAAAAGGCGGGGGGGGGAGGGGAAATCCCACATATTTATATTTATTTTTCTGTTTCTTAACTATGTCAGCAAGCTACATTTTACATACTTCCTTGTTCTTAGCTAATTTTTGAGTGTTAAATTTATATTTTTGCTTAGTTAAAAATTAAGAGAGATCTTTTAACTCTTTCTAAGCTAACAGCTGAGAATATTGCAATATATTTCAGCTTAGTTGTATTTTGCTTAGTGGTGAAAATTCATAATGTGTAATGCTGACCTATTATACTGCACCTGTCTTTTTTTTTATACCTTACTGAAAATTAGTTGGGCGTTAGAATTCATTAATATTTGTAAAAACATTAAAAACCTCACTATCAGGTATTCCAAGTTTTTCGTATCATTCTTCTGAATCTAAAAGCAGGGCATGTGATTTTTTCCATGAACATAGCAGAATTGAGCGTATTTTAAGACCATTAATTTGCAGACTTCCGAAAATCGAAAACTTATTATCCAGCGAAATTTCGAGACTTTTGCTAAATCCAATTATTGTTAATTGGATGTTAGCATACATGTGATTCTTTCGCTAATTTGATTTATTTATTTTTTTGGTTTGATGGATTTTTGCCACTTTGAATAATTGGAACTGCTCCGGAAGTCACTAAAATCGTGATTCTTATTCACGTGATTTTAATATCAAACATTGATTTTTCATATTTGCCTGATTTGTGGTTGAATTATGAGTGGTTATTTATGAGTGTGGTTGACAACTTCTCCATGCAATCACTGCAAGATATAAGATACTTCGCCATTTTTCCCTGCCCTGTTATTCTTCATGGTGTGTAGCATTTTTAAAAAGTACTTAAAGGTGCTTATTTTTGTTTTTTTTAAAGTCCTTAAAGGTGTTTTTTTCATTGGGTATTTATGAAAATTGCCTGATATTCCCTTTTCGAAAAAGAGTTTTTTTTTCTTTACCATGTCGATTTTCGGCTCATAAAGCCTGGTTTTCACATTGTTCTATTCAAGTTTTCACATTTCATTCAACCACAATCCATTTCGGCCTATCGTCGGTCCTTAGCGTATGAAAGTGGCAATCATTTTTACATGTTTTATGAAGTACTTGCAAGTCCGCATGCGAGTCTACTGAGCTGAGTTCGGTGAGATTCTTGCACTGTCATGTGTAACTCTGCTGCATTTTGCTAGATATTCTCAATTTCAGGCTTCATTTTCCACCCTCATTTTTCGAATCGAAAAATCTCTCGATCTTTTTGTGGTGGCTAATATAGTCAAGAAAGGAGCTCTTTGTCAGAAACTAGTTATTTTATCATGATTTTAAAATTATTTTGCATTTTGTTAATGTGCTTAAATATGTATATTTAAGTACTTGGAAAGTACTTAAAAAGTGCTTCTTTTTTGTTCAAAGATTTGGCTATGCACCCTGTTCTTATTTTAAGTTTTATATCATTTCATAAATAACTTAGTTAATATAATATTGATTTTTTTTTTTTTTTTTTTTTTTTTTTTTTTTTTTTTTTTTTTTTTTTTTTTTTTTTTTT